CAGTTGCCCTCCTGCCGACAGAAAACAAAGAAAAAAGTTTTAATCATGCTACTCAGTGATTAAAAGTAGAATTTTTTTTAAAGAAGCCTAATATAAAACATTCCTCATGGGGCATCCTTCTGCGAACAAAGCTAAAATTTGCATGCAAATTACTTAACATCATACTAGTTTGTGTTTTTTCGTATAAATTTACGTGCTGTCGGCAGCTATTTTCCATTCCAATCTTTCTAAGTTTTCTACGATTCTAGCTCGCTGGCAAATCTTTGCAAAAGTGGTCGATCACCCATCAAAATGATTTTCAAGCTGTTAAAATCTCTTTCACAAATAATCGAGCGTTTGTGCTCTTTCTAAATTAGCTATCACTCAGTACCAGTCACTAGTACACGAAAGCCATCAGCTGGTTGTCTTCCCTGTCTTTCGTACGAGCTGAAGCGTAAGCTCCTCGATAATTTTGTTCAAGGCCTCCGGTTCGAACGTTTAAATACTTTTGCCGCCGTAATTAACTGAATGTCTATCTCCTACGAAAAATCTCTCACTCTCTCACAGTGGATTTTGAGAAATTTTCACTATTTTCATTACCACGGCTCTTTATTCTTTATACCGAGGAAAGCGACTTTGCACTTAGCCTTACTCTCGCGCCGCAATTTCGGCGCCAGATCACTGAACCGCGAGAACTCGGAAATGGCCTATTGACGTGTTCTCAGCCAATGAACATATTGAACATTTTGCATGCATATTAATAGGTCTGTAATTATATGAATCATTTACAAAATCGGACGATCGCGAAGCGAAAGTCCGCCTTGTTATTTGAGAATATGATTATAGAGAGAATTGGACGACATGAAGTGTTGTTACCAATTAACCAAAACAATGAAAAATTTGAGAAACAACAGTTAATTCGGCGAAATGCACAACACCAGCGCGCGCACATGACGCGTTCTGTCCACTTACACAGGCATGACGTATCAAGTGTCCCATTACACTGACCAATCAAGAACATGACGCGTACATGTAAACTGTCCTATTAGTGCTCAAATCGGGCTGGTGATAACCAATCACGTTCGAGAATGTTGTTATGGTTTTGACCATGATGATAATAATGATGAAAATAAATGTTTATGTTTGATGTTCTCAGGTACTTAAACGGAAACCAACTAAAGGAGTTACCTTCAGACATTTCAGAAAGAACGCACAGCTTATTAAGTTGCAAGTTCGGAAAGCTATCATTTTTTTCTTGATGACGATCTATCTTTCCGTGGCAACAAAAAGTAATGAATACAGTTTTCCAGATAGAGACCGGATTGATGTCAAAGGAACGTTTCTTGACCAGACAAAAATTCGAGAGCATGTTTTTAGCCTTAATCATGATATTTATTCTTGGACTCAGAGAGCGGCTAGAAGCTGCGTAAACGTTCCCCCCGAGAACATCCTATCCCCACAAAAGAAATCCACAGTGCTTTTGTATTTGTGCTCTCTAGTTCTATGGTTGTTTAAAATTTTTTTGGAATTAAATTTCTTCCTTGGTTCTGAAGTTCACGTGAGAATTGACGTCTGTTCTTTCATTTCTGCGGAGAATAAAACATTTCAAATTAAACAAAACCAATGTACACTAGGAGAATATGTTAAGTTAGGTAGTACAAAAGGGACTAGGATTGAAAAATGTCAAAAAGATCCATTTTCAAGAATTAAACAGAACAAATTATTTCACTAATGGTCTCTGAATTTATGCGTGAGTATTCTCAGTTGATGTCCACCTTATTTGAAGGTTTAATTGAGATATGATACGCGTAGATGTTTTGCTAGCTGTTTAGTACGAACTATGAACAAAATGTCGGCACGTGTTATATTTTAAACCATTGAAAAGGGGATTTATCATTCCACTATTATTTCGTCTTCTAGCGGCGTCTAATTTTCAAAATATATCCCTCCATTTCTACCTATGCATCGTATCGATCGCATAGGGCGCGTGTAAAAGACGAAACAACACAAAGCAAACTTTTTAGGTGTTTATGACCAGCAAAAAATCTCACGCTCAAAGTTAGTTATTTCAAAGCTCAAGCCCTAAGAGAGACCTTTAGATCGTTCTGTGCGGCATTTTGTTACTCCACTATAAGGTAAAACGGCATAACATTTAGTATCAATAACAGCGGAGGATAATTTCATCGAAATTTGTTTTAGGTATTTGCAGGACAACCGTTTAGAGGAGCTGCCTACGAACATTTTCAAGAGTCCTTCTCAGCTGAACTCTCTGTAAGGTATGATTCCTGATTCCTGATTCTTAACAAGTGGGACTCTTTATTTTCATATATAAGGCTACCATGGCCAAAATAAATCTAAAAAATCTTCGATTTCTGCCTCCTCTTCTTATTCCTGAGTTATAAGCAACCTATCGGGGTTGATCTCTCCTCCAAGTTTTAAAATATTCTGTACTGTTGGCGCTGAGCCACCTTAAATTTTAAAAAGAATTGATATAGTTGTTGATAACATAAACTTAAGCCTAGCCAGATTACTGGTCATGGTAACCTTGGTCAAGTAAGTACATTTGTTGGTAAGAAAAATAGTTACACCTTAGCGGCAAGTGCAATTTGTTGTCTTGGAAAAATTTACAAGTGCTCAATACGCCAAATTGCACTCGAAATCATGTTATTACTTGTTAATAATTTACGTGAAAAAACATCACAGAGAGTCCAGAGAGTCGACATTTTGAAAGCCCGCGCGCGCTATTTTTTGCTAATTTGCAATTGTATTACAAGATAATGTTAAAATTGTTTATTCAGTTTGGATACCCGCCATAGTTTGAGCTGTATGTATGTATAGTCCTGCCTAGAGAATAGATAAGTAAAATGTGAACACATGTATACCCATTTAGAATAAAATTTTATCACAGGAAGGATAAAAAAGTACGTGGAAAGAAAAAGAAAGTCTGTTCGACGGATCAAGACATGATATAAAGCAGACGGCGCGAATTTATTTGTCTCTGCTCACCAACATGAAACATTATAAAAACATTACAGATTATATTAAATCTTCCTTGTTTTGTTTGTTTGTGTTTATGATTTATCCCTTGAATGAACTTAAAAAGTAGCGTGCGCCATTATTTAGAATGGAACTCTAAGCTCGTGGCGAAACTCTAAGCTCTTGGCTTACTCTTGGCTCTAAGCTTAACATGGAATAACTTGCTTCAGTAGATAGGCTGTTTTATGTAGAAGCTCAACTCAGCGATCACATGCTGAAAGCCTTTTGTACTTCCCAAGGGCTGGAACACAACACGTTTTTCGCTCTTTTTAGGACAGTTTTTGATGTTACGCTACGCTAATTCACAGTAACCATTCCATTCTTCTCCCGCCTGGTTTTTTTTTTGTTTTTTTCACAACTGTAATGTATTTCACCGCCAAATTTTGCTGAAAACTTTATGCATTTTCAAAGAAGGAAGCCTCTAGGGGATTGCTTAAAGTAAATCAAGTTTATTTTTAATATTAAAAATAAAACATTGGTTTATTTTCATTTTAAATCAGCTTTAAGGTGCAAAGTCGGGTTTAATTATCTTTGATAAACTGTCTCAGATCGTGTTTTTTCCCACCAACATGGAAGAAAAATTTTCAGCGGGAACTTTAGTCTTTGAAACTTTTGTTTCTGCTATGACAAGAAGCCGCCCAATTCCTTTTATTGCCCGCGATGCCGCCTGAGCAAGAATAAGTTGAGTATAATGGACTCATGGTTGAGAGCACTAATCCCCCCCTATCAGTCTTTAAGGACTTTTTCGAAGTTCACTTCAGGAAACTTTTGTCTTTGTAGCTTTTGTTTTGCCCTGACAAGAAGCCATCCAATTTTTTTCATTGTCGCTTTACCAAGAATAAGTTGAGTCAGTAATGGACTCATGGTTGAGAGCACTAATCCCCCCAGAAGAATTTAAGGACCTTGTTTGAAGTTCACGTCAGGAGAGCGGTAAGCAACGTATTTTATCAACAGCTAACTCGTTATTACAGCAAGAGATCTAGAGGTAAGAAAAAGAAACATTTGATTACCCCTTTTTATGAATTGTTCGCTTTTCCCAATGACTTTTTCCAAATACTACGCTTGCCTTTGATACGGTACCTTATAATAATAATAATAACCACTATTTATACCGCGCACATATCAAAAAGAAATCTCGTGGCGCTTTGAGAACCAGCTACCTCTCAAGGAATCCCAGCGCTACGGGACAGCATTTATTGAAGCTAGTAAAGAAAAACCCGAGATAAATCTACACACTCTACCCCTTTTTTTACATTTACCAACAGGAACTTTGTCAAAATGTTGAAGGTAATGATGATGATGATGATGTTATGGCAGTTGGTGAGTCTTGTTCTCGCTGATCACTCGTTTTCACCAATGGATGATGAAAAAACTCCCGCAGGTAAATACTTAGTAATGACGAATAACAACTTTCTTCTACTCCGGCGAGATAATCACGTTTGCCTTCGATGCGTTCGCTGTAGACTGGATCAACTAGGTGTTTTTGAAAAGTTTCACTTGCTTTCGCGAGTTTAACTATGGAAAGTTCACCTTTCTCACACGGATTCTTTTAAGATTAATGATGTATCTTTAATCTACACCAGTGATAAGGGAGATCTAGGAAATAGAAGAACTATCTTTTTGCATATGAAAATAGAAATTAATCAAAAATTCGGTTTTTAGAGTGAAAGCTATTTTAAATAGCGCGGAAAATGGTATATAATCTTTTCTCTGAAGGAGAATCTGTTTTAAACTGAAAAATGGTCCAGGGGAACCTTTATTCATTTCAATTTGAAAGTTGCTCGTCGAAGTTGAGTTCAAAATTGGCGCGTTTCGAGCTAGCTAGCCATTGTCTCGAGCCCAGACATGAATAACAATGCACCTGTCAAACAAACAACTCCCATCGTGATAACCCGCGCACTTGTATATTTATTCACAAATTCACAAAACCTTTTGATGCATTAGTTGTCATACCTTAGCCGGTCTTGCCGACCGTAGAAAAATTTTCCGCGATGGGGGCCCTTTCAGTAGCCGTTGGAAACCGTTCACACGTTTGTAAATTATTAACAGAGTCACGAATAATTATTTACGCTTTAAAAGATCTTCAGACAAACTTTTGCCCGTTTCAACTTTTGAAAATACTGCCACCTACTATATGATGAAAAACTCCAAATCATTTTTATCTTGTTACTAAAAATATTTTCGCTCTGAAAAGAAATATTTTAAGCGATCTGACCATCCTACAGGAGACACACGTTGTCTCAGATAAGATGCCAATGTCTCACTCACCTTAACTTCAATAAAAAGGAAAACAGCTCCAAATAAACTCTTTTATAGTGACACTATATAAGAGAGTGAGATTAATAGTCGCGTGGAGGTTGTAGCGAAAACAAAAAAATTTGGATCTCGCTTTCACTTGTAGTCCACAACGGGTAGATGCCATAGATGAACCTTAGGTAGACGACAGATTTTGTAGGGGCTGGATGCTTGCAGCGTTTTCTAAGAATTCGAGCAGCTAAACACTTCGGATGATCCAATCCCGAGCAGAAAAAATTGCAGTTTGTAATTACGTTAAAGGTTGCAATGACGTGACATGCTAAGAGATTTTGGCATCAAATTAGTCTCCGGCAGAAGCGCGGGCGCAAACGATCCTTGCAGGCTTTAGCATTTGAATAGCCAGCTGTCAAAAGTTCAAGTATAGCCCACTAATTTCAGGCAACGTTTTTTTTTTGTGAGCAAAGGAAGGAACTTGCAAGTAACATATCAGTGGTGAACTATATGATTTCTGTTTATTATGTTGACCGGAGCGTCACGCTTAAGACTGCTTTGTAATTAAAATATATCTTAGCAGAATTCACAGAAAGTGTGCTGTGTTCATCATCTGACAAAGCAAAATAGATCTTACGCACGATGATGTCGCATACTGAAACTCCTTCGTTTGCACTGATATTTTCATGAACCTTTGCCGCTCCCTTTTTGTTTTTGTGCGATGGCTTTTTTCAATTTGTCTTGGGAAAAATTCCGAGTTAAATTTGGTTAATCTATACTTTGAAAGTGAGGCTTGGGGGTGAAACTGGGTATTCCGACGAGAACATTTATAAAGCTTATTTTGGAACGAAGCCGACTTTTAAAAAGAGTTCGATTTATCTCGTATAGATCTCTATGGTTCCCCCCCCCCTCGCTGCCTTCTTTGTTTCATACCATACACATGTAACTGTCATATCATCAATAAAAGATATCGTCGATTTTAACGCTACTTGTCAACGGTTTTATTTTCCTATTTGAAGAAAATCAATGTCCTACTTGTCAAGGAGATAACGAAGTTGATTGTAACAGCAAAATCACGATGGTAGCTTGCCCCAAAGAGGCGCCAATATGTGCAGTGTACAAAAGTATCTATGATGAATTCAGTCGTCACTGCGTCAGCCAGGAGGAATATAACCACATCGTGAGCGAGTGCGAGAAATACCGCGATTGTTCAATGTTGAAGTACGGTAAGTGAAAGGGCGCGGCTTACGTACAACCGCTTAGTAATGATCTGTTATTCACATTTGTTATTTGGCAAAATTTTCAGTAGACTCCAATTATTTGAATTTCATAGCTAACGAAAATCTCCTACCACCTCCTTAATCAGAGTTCCGCTCCTTTTGTTCCATTTCTTCCCATTCTTCCGTTTGACTTTTTTCCCTTTTTCTTTTGGTTCAAAAAATGTCATTAGAGGGAAAATAACACTTGTTACGGAATGAAATTTCAGGAAAGAGAGATGCAGAGAGAGATCCATACAGCATCGCCCATGGAAGTCGTCAAGACTGAGGGGATATCATATTTAATTCTACTTAACAACGATTTTTTTCTTCCTTGTTTGAAGTGTTTCAGTGCCCAACATGTATCGGCGAGGGAAAAGATGAAGCCACAGCCAAAGCTAATTGTGACATCAATATAAAAAAGAAAACCTGTAGCAGGAAGACGCCAGTGTGTGCGGTATATTACATTCCTGAGTTGAGAAAATTCGCTCGTCATTGCATGAACCAAATTCTTTATGACAAAACCGTGGAAAAATGCCAAAGCAAGGGGTGCAAAGCCGAAAAATGCACTCAGCCGGGATGCATGGGAGGAGAGATGCCAGGTATGAATGTGTTACCCTTTTGTACCAAAGGAATTCTAAAAACAAAATTTACACTTGAGTTAACGTGGACTAAGAACGGTAAGCTGCGAGTACTTGTCCATACCTAAATCAACCCTTCGAATATCGGTGCGTGGGATAATTATTCGATGCACTGAGGGGATAACAAAAAAATTAATCACCGATTCATTTTCTCACAAACCATCTTCTTCGGAGTGGGACTGGTAAAGAGTGAATAAGGCCAAATAGAAGACCGATTTTTTTTAAAACAAATGTTATGAGCAGTTCATCCTCTTTGGATTTTATTTCGTAATATTCTTAGTTTGTAATATTATAGCACTTATTATTTGAATTTTAATGCCTATCACAAACAAAGCTTAAGCTTAATCATTGCTTAATCAGTTTTTCTTCCCTTTTTTCAATCTACGTTCGTTATAAACAGAACTGGGTGGGGAATGAATGGACATTGATATTTTAGGTGAAAAAGCGTATTTTGTAGAATAAATTAAATGCGTTTGTTCACTAAACGTTCAGCTGAGAATCCACTTTCTCAACCTATAATTCGTCAAGGAAAGAACGGGAAAATCAATCGGTTTTTTTTTTTTTTTTATCACGGAGCCGATTACCAAAGTTGAATTCACGATAGGTTTCCCGGCATTTCTTCTTTTCCTCAGTATTTGAAGGAATTCAATGCCCTTCTTGTGAAGGCAAGGACGAAAATGACTGCGATAGCCAAATTAAGATGGAGGTTTGTCCAAAAGAGACGCCGACATGTGCAGTGTACACAAGCGATAAGGGTCATTTCAATCGTGGTTGCGTCAACCAAGCGGAATATGAAACTTTATTGAACAAGTGCGAGGAACACGGCGATTGTACCATAAGAAAGTACGGTAAGTCGTAGAGCGTGTCTCAAGTAGATATTGATCAATTATCAACACTTATTGAAGCAAATTATTCCTTTTTACTGCATGGCTTTTAAAAGCTTGTTGCCCTGCGATATAACGAGCGCTCTGATTGACTAAGAACGAGATCAGAGCAGGGAATTATATGGCGGTAATGTCCACGGGTCGATTATGGATTATGCATATTAGAAAGAGCAAAAAAAGTCAGACAAGTTCCGCGGTGGTTCTTTTTGCTTTTTGAAAGTTCGAGCGCATGAAAACGACGAGGGCTGATTAACAGCCAGAGAGAATAGACTTAACAAACAACTTGAGTTTTAGAAAAATGGTGAGATTGCATGGACCAATTCTTTATTGGCAGCAGTATTTCTGATTACTTCGTGTATTTTCAGATGTTTAGAAGGCTTGTAAAGCTATTTGAACGATAAATCTTAAAGAAGGCGAAGATATGTTGTCGAAAGCGAGGGCGGAGATTGAAATATTCTGAACAGTGCATTCCAGAGCATTCAGTTGTATTTTCTTTCATTAAGGGCCGGACGTGACTGAACTATTTTGAAACATTTTTATGTCTTTTCTGTACGCGCTCCAGATGACCGTTTGCCTTGAAAATGAAGTTGTGACATCATTATACTGAAATACTTTTTTTAAGGCTCTAGGAGTCATTTTTCCCGAAAATAAATAAGTTTCTTGACGGTATACGTGATACAGTAGTATGGTTCACTGATTGCGTAGTTTTATTGTATAAAATTCCACCGATTGGGAGAATAAAATTTTAAGCCCCCCTTCAAACAACCCTAATAGTACTATACGCGCGTTATAGTTGAAACTACCATCCATGGTGTATGGTAGTTTCAATTATCACGCGCGTTTGAACACGAACTATCATGCGCTATCATCGACTATCATCAACTATCATGTAGTTTGGACATGTTTAAATTCGACATGATGGTTGATGATAGTTTTTGATGTTTGAACGAGCGAATGATCTTAGTAAACGACAGGTTTTCGGTCAACAGTTTTGCCAAAACGGGCTCAAACCGAAAAGCAAATAAAACTAATTACTAACTAAAGTAGACGTGAGTCAAAATTTCCTAGAATGTCTCGTTCTTCATTCTCATTATCTCCTGGGAGGCTTCAGTATCCGCTTTAAATCGCAACTTCCTGGGTAAAATTTTAAATCCCGCCAAAATTGCTGAACTCAGCGCGCGCCTTATTTGTTAATAATAACGTAGTCTCACTGCGTGATTTTGGTAACCATCGCCAACCTATCATGAACCGTTTGAACGCAAACATGAGAGTCTATGATAGTGACTGAAAGTTTGAACTATCGTCAACTTTAATCAACCATCATGACCATTTTAACAGGGCTCTAGAGGGTGCCAAATGTTGTCTTTTTTTTTTTGCCTTTTACAGAGTTTCAGTGCCCTTCCTGTAGCGGCATGGAAGGAAATGGCAAAACTGCTGAAGCCGATTGTAATGAAAAAATCAAGATGGAAACCTGCACCCAAAAGCACCCTATTTGTGAGGCAGTTTCGGATAACTTGGGTACATTCACTCGTAATTGCACCAACGAAATGGATCACAGTATCACGAGGAACAACTGTAACTTTTTCCAAGACTGCAAAGCGTCAAAGTGCACTGAGCCCCGTTGTATGGCTTAGCCGAGTTATTTTCTTGTGTGTCAGGTACCGAGTCGTCATTCTCTTTGGGATGCCACAATAGAAAATAATACTCCTCTGTGTTGTTGTCGTTGATATCTTTAATTTCTTCTGCTACTAATTCAATTTAGAGTTTCTAGTCGGTAGATAATATTTCTTAATTAACTTTCAAATCCTTTCATTTTAATGTATTGCAGACTTGCGTGTTATCCTCCCTTGAGCATAGTGGAGACGAGGAGACTTCATGGAAAAAAAACGCGGAACTCAATGTGTGCCATTTTGGTTCAATTTGATTATTTTTCTTTTTTGTGATTAGCTTTATTAATTAATGTGTTTCTAATAAAGAAAGTAGAGTCAGTACCAGTTTCGACAAATGTGATGTTTAACTGCCAACCGTTTACTTATCATTGTGACTACACTCACACGAGACATTTGATGTGAACATTTTATTAAGGATGAGTCTGTCAGTCTAGTAGTATTCGCACCCTGATACAATCTTTACATGTATACTATGAAATAAAGGGTTCTACGAAAAAAAACCTGTGCTACGCTAGACACAAATAGTCACTACGAGCCAATCTTAAGGTGTGGCCAAACATTGTGCGATGTGGAGACTTATTACTCATCTAATTAATGCAGCTGCGCAATACCCCGAGAAAGGGTAAACTAACCTGGTTACACCACTAATCAAAAAGAAAAAATCAATGATTCTAATGATATTTTACAGGGGTTAGAAAAGAAAAATTTCAACAAACACAGAAAAAAATTGTCAATCATAAGACAGACCAACCTAGACTTATTTAATTTTTCCGCGAAACGCTTAAATAAGCCGAAACTACCACGATGCCACGCAAACTTCTTTAACGTACCATCAGAATTGCTATTGCGAAACTTGTTGTCATACCGTTTCCTGTATGCATTGCATTTTCGTGTTAATTACCTGTGAGTGTTGGTACGTTTCGTTAGTTATCTTGTGTACTTGAGGTTGATGTTTGTGCCGTTGCGTAATGTTACGTAATTATGTCGAGTACATTGTAAGGTTTTTGTATAAATTTAGTCCTGCGGTCAGTGTTTGTATCCACTTGTCAAAGGCAGCGTCGTCGTTTTCGATTTTTTGCCTATAAAGCTATGCACCATTATGGTAAAGAGTTTAGTTATCAGTTTCCGCTCTTTAATATGCATTTCCCGACTCATGTTTACGCGCGACTTCGGTTACCAGAAAATTGATTTTTGACCAATTCGTTCCCCTGTCACTCAAACGTCAGAAGTTACATTTTTCTTTATCTTAGTATCTGGATAGTTTCTCTTTATGAGTTAATTCAAAGTCAAAGTTAAAGAGAAAATGACAGGAGGAGTGTTGCATAAAAACCCAGCAGTGGTGGTACTGTCAAGTGCAATCAGTTCCGAGCAATCATTTCCCATCAAGTATTGCTTCCACTGCAGACAAAGTAAAAAGAAAAGTTGCAGCTTCTATATTTTGTCATAAATAGACCGAAAGTATATTTTCCTCAAATCGCTTGCAAATCTCCAAAAACTAAGAATTCTTGCTTTAAAAAAGAAAAAAAACTATTTGGCATGACACCTTTAAAAGATTTAATTCTACAAGTGTTTAATTACTCTCTATCAACAAACAGTTTGGGAAATCTAGTCGATACTTTCTAAAGTTCTTTCACTTTTACCGCGCTGTGAAAAATTAAGGCGTAGAAGAGCGCGAATAGTAAGTTATACTGCGTTTTGAATGGAAAATATGATAAATGTTCGAAAAACAAAAAACTTTCTCGTTTTGTTTTCGACGATCAAAGTGTCCCCTTTGTTTAGACAACCAAAGGCCTTCAATTACAATCTGGAAATTCGTTCCGTGGGGTGCCATTTCTCAAACCAGAATATTGTTTCAGTTTTCTATCGATTTACCGGGATAATAGTCGAAAAAGTTTTAACCAATCAGAGCGCGTGGTTTCCCAGTTGTGTCAAAAAAACTTCGTATCATAAAATCTTCAACTTTCCAACCTAACGCCTCAACCAATCCTTTCTAATAACTCATGAAGAGTTGCTTTCTCATCTTTGCACGCATAACTTATAAGGCGCTTCTTGATAATTTCCAGTTTCTTGGTATTTCTCCCCAAACTAACAATAGTAAAAATGTGGTCGAATGACAGCGCAATCAGAGGGCTTCTTCCGATCTATAGGGTAAGATATTCTTTAGTCTGCTTAGAGCACAAACTGCCCTCCTTTCAGTGGCCATAGGTGCAATGTGGTAGTCAAACTTATCATCTGATTTATCTTTATCAAACTTATCATTTAAAGTCACGCCTGACAATTTTATCGCTCTCAAAAAGGGAATCTGTACACTTAATCTGAGATCATGGTTCTTTCCACCCAAAACTTCACATTTATGAAAATTGATTAAGGCTATTACTCTTTATTAGAAATACACTCATTGACCAAGTTAATCACAAAAAAAATTAATATGTATAAAAAAAATGAACTGAAATGGAAAGCATTGAGTTTCACATTTCTCTTCATGAAGTTTCCTCATCTCCAGAGCATTCAAGGGAGAATGACCAGTCTGAAATACATGAGAACAAAAGGATTTCAAATCAATTAAGAAATATAAATAACCTTGAAAATTAAGAAAAAAAATAGTATTTATGAGATTTAATCTAATCTAATATAGGTAAATATTAGATTAATCTCTGTGACG